AGAGAGAGAGAGAGAGAGAGAGAGAGAGAGAGAGAGAGAGAGAGAGACCCTTATTCGTCACTCTCTTGTCTTTAGCGACTCCCCAAACTATCTCCAAATGTAGTGATTCCAATTCTGCTCTACTTGTACTACGAGAGCATCTTAGCCAGGCAAATGATTTTTGTCTTACAGCAGTCACTTAGAGCAGGTTTCACTAAAATATTTCTCTTTCGTTTGTTCATTCTTAAATGAAGGCTGAAAGGAGGACTGGAAAGTAATGACACCTTTTGGAATATTTACATGAGCTCCAAGTAACTTGGAGGTGTCTCAATCAGAGGGAATGAAAAAGAGCTACATAAATATGGCAATTCAAAAAAGAAAAAGGTATTAATCAAAAACAACAAAAATCATACTTACTTTGATTGTTTCTTCCGTTAATTGGCTTTGCAACATTTTCAAAGCTTCTTCTTTCTTGGTATTTTGCTTTTCCATTTCCTGTTTGCCAAAGGAGACAAGATGTGAATATAACTGCATATATAAAAGTTATACTACTGGAAGCCAGCATACTAGAAAACGAAAAAATATTTGGTTAGTGACAAAAATGTTTGTCTTTATATTGTATTAACATGCATTTTACTTCTAAGTGAATTTGGCCCTGATTCTGTCACATTGTGGTCCCTTTACACTTCCCCAATGGCAGAAAGCGGCTATAAAGAGAGTGTAGCCCTCTCCTGCAGAATATACTCACTATAGGTAAGGCCCTACTTGAATTGCAATTGTCGGCTGAGAGTGGGCACTCCCGCTATTGACCACCCAGGTCTGAGAGCAGGGGCCTGGGGCTGACAGCAGCCACCCTGGGCTGACAGCAGGGGCTCCTGCTCTCAGCCCCGGAGTGGCCAGGCTCCCACTGTCAAAAGTGCAATGGAAGCCTAATATTGTAGAATCCGCAACATCGCAAGTTTCATAGGGCCTTAATTATAGGATAGTTCTCCACCTGACAGAGCAGATGTAAGGCTCTATGCTGGCCTCCTTCCTTGTCCCTAGTGGAGGTGGCATATTGAGATGCAAACCAGGATGTGACCCGAGTGCTATTCTGTGCTGGAATAAAAGCCATGGAGGGTCATTAAAGTCAGGGCAATTTAGTGCAGCTCTGGGACTGGCCTAGACAGATACAGAGGCCAGAATTAGGGAGCAGGCAAAGATGGCTTTAAAAAACAAAACAATAACAAAACAAAAAAACACCCACCTTTGTCTACCCCTATCTTTCCTGTACCCAGCAAAATTAAAAAAAAGAGAACCAGGCCCTTCATCTCTAAAAACAAGTCAATCAACATTTGGTTTGCTATTAGATAGAATTAATAGTCAATATTACCTCTCTGCTTTCTATCAGCAGCCGATCCAATGATTCAAGGTGACGTTGTTTACATACAATATCTTCTTGTAAAACAGACATTGTCTTCTCTAACTCATTAATTTGCTGGTGTTTCATAGCCAGCTGAGTCTGAAGCTATACACACACAAAAAAAACCCATTATTTATTGTTTTAATGTAGTTTCTTATACAAGCCTCTTGAGATTTAAAAACTATCTACACATATGGTTCCATTTGGTTTATTTACCACCAAAAAGCAGTCACCCCTAGAGTGAACACAAAATGATCATATTGATGCCATCAGCAACACTGTACAACCTAGGAACAGGTATAAAAATTACATTACTGATTAAAGCAACCGGAGAACATAGGCAGAATACAGTTACTTTGCATGCTGAAATTGGTCAAGACAACAAGACATACAACTCTACTTTTGCAAAATATGACATGAAATCTTCCATGACTGCAAGCAGTACGGGTTTCAGTTTCAAAAAAGGTCATCTGAAAGTTATTAAAGGTTTCTAAAAAAATTGGAGGAACGTTATCAAAGATCACCCTGTCTCAGTGGGAAAGAAAATACTGCCTGGGGCTGTATTATTTTGGCTGGGGATTCTTCTCATGGACAGAGGAGAGATGCTCAAGTCAGTCTCCACTTTCTCCCCACATTAAGGACCCTGGGGAAGAGGTCTTCCTGGGGTCCAGGGAAGTGGGGTGATGGTGTTATAGAGGTGTCTGACTTTCATTCTATATGGCAGAGAAGAGAGTCACAAGTCTTCAGGGGACAGTCTTTATAATGCAGAATGCTAAAGAGAGGGAGTGTATGGAGGAGATACCATGAACTTTTTAACCCCAGAGTTACTGAGGAATGAAGATATGGAAATTAAATTTACATAGAAAACATTAGAGATATATATGACACACACATTAGTGCATAATCTCTTACTATTTCAATCTGTTTTTCCATCTCTTTGTGCTGTTCAAGATGAATTAACTTTGCTTTTTCAAAAGCTATAGTTACTTGCTCATGTTCTTCACTGATATTTGCTTCCAAGTTGCGAATCTGGCCATTCTTTTCCTGGAAATATTTTTTAAAATCCTTAATCGGAATATATAGATCTTTTGATATCAAGTAATGAGTTATTTTTTGTGTAAGCAATAAGGAAGTATGAAAGCCTCAGACTCATAAGAACAATAGATAAAATTGGAATTTAATATTAATGTTTTACATTTATATAGCATCTTTCACCCTGTAAAATCTCAAAGCATTTTACAAAGTACAGTGTAAACATGGAGCATCACTGAAATGCAGCCATCTCAGACATGGAGGGCAGCTGTCAGATGGACAGTTGGCACAGATGACAGCACACAGTATTGAGTGAAGGAAAATGTTGGCCAAGGACACCAAGGCAAACCCCTACTCTTACAAGAAATGTCATGAGGCCATGAAAGGAAAATAAAGTAATTTTACTGCAGTGAATATTAAATATGAAGGAAGTGAAGAGAGCAATCTTAAGAGTGTAAAAACTAAAATATTTTAATACTTTGCAACAGTTATCCTTTTTCAAATGTAACAGTACAGGGAAGAGCTGGATTTTCAATCATTGAATATTTCTAACTGACAAATATTTTCCTATACTGCAAAAAACTGTAGAAAGACCATTTAAAAAAATATGAGTAAAATCCTGGCCCTACTGAAGTAATTGGCAAAACCATCATGGACTTCATTCCATATGTAATATAAAGAAAATTATTTATATCCATTTAAGAATTTTTATGGGTGTTCAAGGGTAAAAAATTCCAGGAACTTCTGTTTAAAGCAAGATTATTTGGGTTATTAAAATTGTGTGATCTGTACTAAGAGATCTTGCACTTTATCTGGTTTGTATATGTATAATACCAGCACAATAACTAAAAATATATAGTAACACACCAACATTGTGTGATTTTACACAATTATGATTTCTCAATGAAAATTTCTTACTATGAGCTCCTGATCCAGCTCAGAACATCTTGCAGCAGCAGCAGAATAAGCAACTGTCTTTTCTTCCAACTGCTTTTCAAGTACTGAAAGCTGAGAGGATTTCTTTGTTATCTGAAAATAAACAGAATATAAACCATTAAAAGAGATTATAATCTTATGTTTAAGAAAGAAAAATAAAGACCTATGCATGTGCATGTTTTTCTAACTGTGATGTTTATATAATGGTGCATATGTAGTGTAAGTACAGCCTGCTAAGAGCAGTATGGTAGGTAAAGATTATGTAGGACAACTGATTTAAGGTTTGTTCAATTATTTGTGAATGCTTTCTTGAAAACTGACTTGTTATTAACTATTACTTTTTATTAGTTACAGAGAAAAGAAATTTTAGGGCAACTTATCTTCAATGTGTGCAATTTACCATAAATTACAATGCCACAACAGTGAGTCAAATGTTAGACATCTATAATATTTGGGGTCATTAAAACAGCCATTATAAAACAAATTATGCTGAAACTGGATATACATGTTAGGAATTTGAATGCTAATGCAGTTTAATGCCATTGGTGAGTTATAGCTTTCATTGCCTAAATTTCTCTTGTGATTATCCAGTAATAGTTCTGGTCTCTGGGAAATATACAGCATATTTCTCATTAAATACATACTCAGCATTTGGGTATCCACTAGTACAGAGGTGGGCAAACTATGGCCCGTGGGCCACATCTGGCCCGCGGGACCCTCCTCCCTGGCCCCTGAGCTCCTGGCCCCCAGCCCCTCCGTGCTGTTCCTCCTCCCCCCGCAGCCTCAGCACACCGTGCCACCGGCACAATGCTCTGGGCAGCCAGGCAGCGCAGCTGCAGAGCTGCTGCCTGACCCAAGTCTCTGAGCTGCACCGTAGTGCAGCTGCCTGTCCTGGTGCTCTGGGTGGCACGGCTGTAGCGCCGCCAGCCACCGGCGCTCCAGGCAGCGCGGTAAGGGGGCAGGGAGCGGGGGGGGGGGTTGATAGAGAGCAGGGGAGTTTGGGGGTGATCAGGAGACAGGGGTGTGGATAGGAGGTGGGGAACGTGGTGGCA